ATGTATAAAATCAGCAGTATGGGACAAACAGCAATCACAGATCAAGTAAAACTGTAATATCAGGGGAAATAGCATGCAGTGGAGATCAGAGAAAAGGTCATTCTGGGGTGGTATTCATACTGTATGCGTATAGAAGATATGCATTCATTCTATGCGTATAGAAGATATGCATACATTCTATGCATATAGAAGACAAGTACATTGTCCATATCCCATAATAAATTTGAAATATTGAGAAAATACAGCATTATAGGAGAAGTGGAAGAAGTCAAGTGGTTGGATTTAAGAAAAGTTTGTTGAGTTTCAGCTCTGAACATCTTAGGTGTGAAAGGCAAATGGACTGCCTAGATTAATACAAATGTATTTCTCCACTGTTGGGAAGTTATTTGTGCCTGGTATTTTGTGGTGGTCATATTTCAAGAAAGATTGTGAATTGTGATTCCTTAGTGGCAAAGATTACACTTCTTTTGCAACAAAGCATTTAAACTTACTTTTCAAATAATAGCGTTGAATTGGAAGTAATGTGTACAGTGTGCAGATGAGTTTCAAGCAAAAGGCTATCCCACTTCACCAAGTGAAGCAACTAGCAAGTATGTACTTCTGGAGGAGTTTGTCTGGGGTCTGAATTTATGCGTTCTTGTCTTTTCCCTCCCACTAGAAGTGAGAACTCCATCATTCTTGAGTGCGTTATTTATAATTTCATAAAGCTGTTCTGTGACAGGACTTATTTTACCCTGCTTGCTTAATCTTTATCAAATAATGGTGCACCCAAAGAGCAAGATCTCAGAAAAGAACTTTGCTGTTGGGAAAAGGAAGATTCAGCACCTGCCATTTTGTGTAGAACAAAAGGGCAAAGGTTTTGGATCTGACACATAAATTAGGGCTTTGAGCACTTGGAAGATTGGACAGGAATGGAGTCATCTTGTGCAGGTCTTGCCATGCCATCCCAACTTTCGTTGCACTTTACATCCCACACCAGTAAGTACAGTATAATGAACAAAGATGTAGAACCATCACCGTGGCAAGATTGAAGAAGCCCTTAGAATGAATAATTGGGAGGAGGTCATTACAGAACTAATAATTCATGGAGAGGAATGGGAAGCCAATTCAGTGAAATTGAAAGAATTTGGAGGTAAATATGCCCATAAATCCTCCAGGGTGGACTCAGAGTTTAGCACTTTCTCCTACCTTGGTTTTATTCCAAGGCAATTTCATTAAACACTGGAGAGAGGGAGAGGAAAAAAATAATAATATAAATGCCATAAAAAATCTTTCAGAGGAAGGAATAAAAAGGCTTCCTGCCAGAGAGAAATTTTATTGAAAGTTATTATAATACCTATCTTTAGTTTTATGGCCTTTAATACAGGGCCAAGTAATTTCAAAGCTGGGATTCTTTAAAAAAGAAATACATATTTTAAAATAGTATGGTATGAATTATTATTTTTAATATAGAGTTTAGCTAATATATGGAATAGAAAAATATTTTCTCTCTCATATTCTTTCCAACGAAAACACAAACATCATTTCCATCATAGTATATGGAGAAGTTTCATTACTATCATGGTACCCGTACATAAGAATGTTTAGCATTTGCCATCTCTAGATCACCTGGCAGACATTAAAGAATTAATCCGTTTACATCCCCTGGGGGCAACGGGTGAGTATAATCGACCCAATTTCAAAAATGGGGAAAGGGTACCAGAAACAGAATAGCTGGTTTTGCTTACTGCCTCACAGAGTGAGCCGCTCATGATGAGAAGAAATTATCTTGGTGGAGAGGTTTCTAGGGTCGCTGTTCACTTGCCTCTCCTGTCTTGTGGAAGCAGCAAGATCAATAATCATCCAGTGAAAGTTCTTAACTCCAGGAGTGTTTTGAAAGGTACAGATTCCAGTTACAAGAAGTTATGGTCTTCTGGAGGTTTCTGTGGTCGGGAATTTGCTGCTGTTTCCCACTGAAATAGCTTTATTCCTCCAGGATGATTCAGATGTTGATTTTGAGTGGAAGGTGCATGGAAAACCAATACGTGATGGGACTAGAAAATAGGTTAATGATGAATTGTGATGGAAAGTACTGAGATCAGAAATACAAGATAGGAAATGGCAAGACAGATTAGTGTACTTATCTTTTCTGTGGTTTCTAGAGAGCTCGTTAATGACCTTGACTTAAGTCTAACACCACTTTTGGAGGTTTTTCTCTTTTTCGAACCCTCATTTTTGTATGTATAAAATCAGCAGTATGGGACAAACAGCAATCACAGATCAAGTAAAACTGTAATATCAGGGGAAATAGCATGCAGTGGAGATCAGAGAAAAGGTCAGAGATTAATTGATAGAATCGGGATGGAACTAGTCATGAAAAAGTGCAGATACGGGTCAGAGTTGGCAGGGTTGATGAGTATTGCACATCTCACATTTGCGTTTTGTCCAAGTCTGGCTGACTGTGCCCTCCTTTGTTCAGAACCAACATATTTTTATAGAAGGAAATTTAGAACATATATCTAAGAGTGCAGCATAAATATGTTGCATGTGCTGTTGTTAAGATGGAATTAGATGGGAATATAATTAGATGGGTAATAGATCAAAAAGATAAAGAAGGACCAGGCTTCATGACTTTTCAGATCCTGCACAGAACTCATCTTGGCTTCCAAATTCTTCATCCCCCATGTTCAGGATCTGTGAGAGTGGCTGGGAGGCTGCAGAGGCTCACCCTCACCCAGCACCCTGCTGCTGGCCCTGGCTGTGCACAGGGCAGCAAGGAGAGAGTCCTGATCAAGGCAATGCAAATAGTGATACTTTCGGGACAGGGACTTCCCAAGCTAGGCATAGGGTATTTAATAGCTCTGGATGAATGCTTTTACCTTTAATTTGGTTGATCACTTCCAAAATGCATCTAAAACTTTATTTTCTAGGTTTTTTCTGGGCATGCTACCTCTCTGGTTTCGTATGAGGTCCCTAATAAGCAAGAGGAGAAAAAAGAAAAAAAAAGAGTTATAAAGGAACGCCTTATTCTTTACAAATGCTGAATCACATTATCAATTCTATTGCATCTGATTTTAGGTTAATGTTGCCTAAAGCCCTGTGATGGTGGTGAGGCACTGGAACTGGTTGCCCAGAGAAGTTGTGGATGCCTCATCCCTGGCAGTATTCAAGATCAGTTTGGATGGGGCTTTGAGCAGCCTGGTCTAGTGGAAGGTGTCCCTGCCCATGGCAGGGTGGTTGGAACTAGACGATCTTTAAGGTCCCTTCCACCCCAAATGATTCTGTGAATCTATGATTCTATCATTCTGTGAGCAAATATGGAAGTGGATGAGTATAACAGCTGATGAGTGACAGCCACACATTGTTGTAATTTTTCTGTTTATTTCCTGCCTGAAGCAAATTATCAGTATTCTATGAGACCTTACATGTGAGTTGTCAGATCTTCAACTAGGAGCAAAATCCGTATGTTCTAAATTCAACCTGGAAATCAAAAATAATTATTCTTTTACAAGTACTTTAGACAACTGTAATATAAATGTCCAGTTTCACTAGCTACATTTCACCTGTTTAAAATATTTCTTGCAGTGTAGTTTTGTTGACTTATTGGGCTAAATTACAATGCTGCAATTAAAAACTAGTATCTTTCTACCCAGGGACAGCTGTTGGAGGATGTGATCACTGTTTGTATAAATTATAAAGTGATTTGGTGTCTTTTGGAATAAATAATACTTTATAAAATATACATGACAGGACCAGAAGAATTGTAGAAAGTAAATTTCTATTTATTTTGTGCGTTCCTCTCGCTGAACAGACAAACTTTTAAAGCCAGTTTGCTGATCTTATTTTTCTTTCTTGGCTCACTCTAAGCCACTGAATCGAGTGAAGGAATGTTAGGTCAGTCCGATCTTTCTGGCTGACTGCTCAGTTCTGCTTTTTTTTGGAATACAGAGAAGGGAGAGCAAGGAACTTCTGGCAGGGGACAGAGGGACTTGATATCACTGGGACCACAGGACACTAAAGAAAAGGTTGAGACCTCAGAACACCTACACAAAGAGAAGAGGGATCATGTTGGAGATAGCCATAGCAGACATAGGGATGTAAAGGAAACTTTATTTAAGGCTGGAAAGTCTTTTTCAGAAATAAGGATTTGGAAGGCTTGTCATGATGTGAGATTCCCAGGAATATTCACCTAGAGTACTGAAGTACAGCCTCCCTGCTCCTGAGGAGCTGGGATTTCAACAATGCTTCCTGCCTGGTCAGGAACATTTTAGTTGTTTTGTTTCAAGAGTCATCCCTCTGATCCTGCTGCTCAGCAGAATAGGCAGCTCTCTGCAAGGAAAAGTTAAGGGAGACAATTTCAGCAGAAGCCGTGGTTCGAGCTGAGGCTGCTGAGCTGGAGTAATTTTGTATTGTGTGCAGGAGCATTACAACCTGTGTCCAGAGGCTGCCATAGACTCTCCGTAATGGTCTACATTACTAATTCAACTAATTGCAGCAATTAAAGGCAGGAGATGCTGCTGGGAAAAGATGCTGGTACACTTCTCTCTAACATTCTGCAGTACATGCCGCTTGTTAATTAGACCAGCAGGGGGGGTGGGGGGAAATAAGAAAGAAAGAAAATATCACCAGCTGAAATGCAAAGGAATGTGTTGAAACCTGTGAGGGCCATGAACAGTCAGAGACAGGTTTAAGCCTTTCAGAACCAGGCTTTCCAGCCTGTCATCCCTGTCACAGCCACTTCCCTGTTCAACTGTCAAGCAAGCAGGTGAGGTTGCATGTTGGGCATACCTGACACATGCAGCAGTTCCTCACTGTACAACAAACTGGTTGCACAGATATTTACTATGTTGGTAAATACAAAGGATTCCCAGCCCAAGAGGAGGTGCATTAGGAGAGCAGGAACTAGCTGTGCCTCAGAGTGATGCATCTAGCAACACAGCAAAGAGTACTGCTAGCTGCCTGGGTGATGCATATTATCTGAGTCTATGTTTTTCTTTGCAGAAAGCATGTTCAGCTTGAACATGCCTCATATGGTAAGTCTCTCAGCAAGTGCCTTCTGGCTGGCCCTATGTGTTATTGGTGTTTGTCAAGGAGCCCAGCATGTTCCAGCCAGACTCATATACTTTGACTGTGGGAGGACCTTTTGCCAGCCAAGCAGGTGTCATAGCCTGCTGTACTTAACTGTGTTCAACAGCACAGCATGGTCCACCGGCTGAACTAAACAGCCTGGCAGGAGCACCACACCTGAGCACACCTGAAATGCTCAACAGGATAAGTACTATTGCTCCAACAGGAGATTCCAGCTCTGTGGAGGGTGCAGTTACACAGGCATATCTAGAATGCTTGGTACAAATATTTTAAAAGTTCCAAAATTCTGAAAATCCTGAAACTTTTTTTTTTTTTAAGGGTACTTAGCTGCTTCTGTACCAGCCTTCTTGACTTGCAAGTATCTTAATTTTTTTTTTCCCTCTGTTCTTTTTCCTTCATTTCTTTCCATGCCAGACAACAGATGACATCGTTTCATCGGCTGAGTGTTCCAGTGATGATGAAGATTTCATTGACTGTGAGCCAAGTACAGGTAAGTCAGGTCAGTCTTGTTCCGCTTGCTTTCTGATTTCATTTGCAAAAAACAATGCATACATATATTTATATGTGTGTGAATGTATACATATATAACTATATATGTATATATGTGTGTGTATATGTGTATATATATACATGTATGTATATATACACTGTATGTAAAATAAAAATTACATAGCCAAGCATCAAATCCCATGGACTTGGCAACAGCAAAAGACAGATATGTAGTCACTATATTGTTAATATGAAGTTGTTTGCACAGAAAGCCAAACTTCCTGCTAATTAATAGTTCACGTTTGTAGCTTCACTGACACAGTGGGAAAGAAAAAATACCAATGTGGCATGCGATAAATAATAAAGATTTATGAAGTGGGGCGGGTGAATGTTTGAAAAACAGAAGAGAAACAAATGTGAAGCAATAATGAGTTATTAGCATTATTTAATCTTTGTCAGTTGCTCTGAAGATGGTCTGTAAAAGGATATATTTGTCCATGGGATTTTGCATACAGTTAACATGGTAATGTATTTGTACTAATTTTGTTTCCTGTGAGCCCAAAGAAGTTGGGGAGCACCAAAACATAGTTCAAACATAACAAAATTAGTACTAATTCTTGCCCTGTTATCTGCAGTGATGCTTCAAAATGTATCTATTAAAGAGTCAGAAGGACTGGCCATGTGGAACTGACTCAACTTCTCCCTTTCAGATACATTTTGATAAACTGATGGCTTTTCTTTCTGGTGAGATATATGATGTGATATCCAGCAGGCAACTGCAGTCAATTTTATTTCTTACAGGCTTTTTCAAGTCTTCTTTTTTGAGGCTTGCCATGAGTTAAGCATTTCTATAATAGAGAACAGACATCATCGAATTTCTGTGTACATTTAAAAGAAAAAGAAGGAGTTTGGTTAGAGTTTTTTTGTCCTTAAAAGTGAAACATATAAATAGTTTAGGGTTGGGAGTTTTTTTGTTTTGCTTTGTTTTGTTTGGTTTTGCTTTGGTTTATTTGGGCTGATTATTTTTTCTTCAAAAAAATTCCAAGAAAGCATTAAAATGTTCTGTTTCTAGTTTCCTGAAGCCATTTGATTAATACAATAATAACATTAAAATTCACCCAAAGCTAGTGCTTTCATATTTCTTTTCAATTTGTCATGCTGTACCTGCATTTTTGGTAGAACTTGGTCCTGCAGTAACCTGACATTGGCGTTGCCCTGTAGCTGGGAACTTCCACTCATATTCTTGACTTCCCTGTGATGGCAGGAAAGACAGTGACACAACAACTAACGCTAACAGATAACTCAGCCTACTCCCATCTCTTTTTTCACAGATCTGTCTGAGTTTTTCAACTCCCCATATGGCAGAAAAGCAATCCAAATAATACTCAATTGTGAAGCGTAAACAGTGTGGGTACTTCGATTTTAGATAGAAGTAGTAATTAAATGCCAGCACAGTGATTGTCGTGAAAGTGAGGCATAATATTACTAGAACTATGGTATAAAGGCTAACATACCACCACTGGTATGCAAGTGAATGGATAGGAATCATTTCATTAAAGCTTCACTAGCATTTCAGGACTTCTTTTTTTTTTTTTTATATATGATTCTCATTGCCAAGTATTTAAACTGAAGGAGGAAATGAGATCTTGTACATTTTTGTCATTTATGTTTCAACACAGAAATAGTAATTACTTCAATGGGTAGAAATTGTAATGTTTTCAGCTTGGGCTGCCAATGGAAAAATCAGAGTTTGAGGAGAAATTTGGTAAAACAGATGTTTAGCATGACATTTCAGAGTGCTTTAGAGCAACATTTCCAGACTAAAAATGCCTCTTTCCTGACAGAGTTAGAAATCTAATGCTACAAATAGGTACACACTGGATTTGTAAAGATGACTTGCCTTTAAAAATCCTGCTAAGGATTACAGTTAGCAACTGTACATGCCTAAAGATAGTTGAGTATCTGCTGTGTTAAATAATATGATTCGCTGAAAATCTGCTGAAGGTACTCTCCTAAACCACTAGGCATTCTTGAAAATTTCACCCAGTATGTTTAATGGCACCCTACTCCTCCTCCATAGGATACTAGTCCACATGAGCTACTGAAATGTGAATCTTTTCTTGGTAATTACTGTGGCATTGAGAATAAAAGTTAGCCTGATTATAAGTTAAAAAGGTTTCCTGGGTGGTCCTTGCTGGTGAAATTTATGCTTCCAGATTTTGAGGTTTCATGGTCTTAGAAGCTCTGGTGTACAAAGTATGCAAAGATATGCAGGCCCTTTTTGCCTCCACAAGCATGAACTTATCTCATTCCACCATAATAAGACGGGAAAGTAATTGTTTTATGGTGCTTCTCATTTAGGTTTCTTTGTCTATCTTTCTGTCTCCATCCCCAGTGCATCCAGGGAAGGTAGAATGGTGTCTGCAATACAGCCAGTATCAAAGCACTCATGCAGCCCATTCCACTCTGGAGCATTAAAGCAATCCTAGCCACCTTACCAAAATCCAGTTGAGCTGGCTTGGCTGAACATTTGCCTTTACACTTCACCAGCCAAGTCAGGATTCTGTCCATATGCTAAGATCTGGTACCTAAATCTATACCTCATGGAAAGAAGAGATTCCGAATATCTTGCTTGTATTTTCATGTGCGTGGGGTTGCATTTTTTATTATTCTTTTTTTAACTGGACCCATTTGAAGTTGCTTCATCCTGGTCTGTTGACAGGTCAATGTATTTTACGCTGCCTTCTGACTTGCCTGATCCCTTTTTCAGCAAATTGAAAATTAAATGACATAACCCAGCACAGCCTCCTTTTTGTTGCTCTAATAATGTGTAGCTTTTAAAGCTCTTGAGTTTCTGCCAAGTGCCAGGACTTGGTCTTCCATGACCCTCAGTGCCACGGTCCGGTAATTCAAAGGTTACTTACTGAACTTCACTGCTGCAGATGTGAGATATGATATACATCACTATGAACCTGCTGTGAAAACCAAGACAAGGGCAGCAGACAATGTTGCTTGGCAAATCAAAAGCTTTCAGATTTCATATGGATCAGAAACAAATCCCAAGATCTGAATATATTACTTTAGTCTTGGTCCTGGATCAGATGCAGTACCCTACAGAGTCCTTTTGAAGACTTTGATTTTGGTGTACTCAAAGACAGTTCAAAAGAAAGAAAATCATGTCCTCTTTGAGACATATGAGAACCAATTGCATGGTCTTATTGCATCTTAACTCTGTGAGTTGAAACCAAGACCTGAATCTCAGTAAGCATATGATCTCTATCTGGACACTTGCATCTCTTTAAAAGAAGATGGTGTAAAGGCTATTTCCTCACTGTGTTCCCCTCAGGATTTTCCTGGCTAGCTCGAGACACTCCCTGTATCAGGCTGGCTACCACTCTGTGCCCTCTTCCAAAACTGATTTCTCTTGGGATTTCTGTAGATCCCCTTGTTTAGAAACCAGGAGCTGTCCCAGGACCTGTCCTGACTGAAGTAACCTACAGACATCCCTTGTGGACATACTTGTATACATAAGGAATTATTCTAAAAAATGGCAGTGACAGCCATGAATCCAAACCCCATCTGTATTTTACATAATGAAAAAGAAGCCATTGCAGGTTTAGGGATAAAAATTACTTGCTGTTCATCTTATTGCAGACAAGCCTAGATATCTAGAACTCCTGGAAAGGCTTACTGTAAATGACACAGAGGGCATAAAACTGTTCTTCAGCCCTGAAGAAACATTTACTTACAGATGAGAGCAGTCCCTCTCTTATCTCTATGGAAATGTCACTTGTCCCAGTTCAGGTTAAAAAATCTGATTTCTGCACCAGAAACATGATGCTTTTCTCTGGTATGAGTACAGGCCTTTCCTCTGGCTTGTTCTGGGGAGATATAAGGCTCAAATATTCAAGTTCCTCAAGGCCTGTTCCTCAAGTTCCTCCTGGGCCTGTGCTTTTGAACACAACCCTGTGGTGGTGTTTTGGTCACTCAGCAGCTCTCAGAGAATGAACGATTTGTAAGGGAAATACCTTTACTCTTAACTAGGAAGCACTGTGCCATCATGAAGAAAGCAAGCACTTATCTCTTTCCAGTCAAATGAGGAACACCCCAACAATCTGATCTTGGTGGTCTTGGCAGTCCTGAGGTAATGGTTGGACTTGATGATCTTAAAGGTCTTTTCCAACCTAGGTGGTTCTATGATTCTACTGAGACTTTAAAACTCTGAGGATTATTCTTATGCTTTCCTGACAGCTGCTGTCTCCTCATGCCACTGCCCTTGTTCCTGTTAAGCATGCCCATTAGTGCAGTGCTTTGGCACCAAGCAGGTTGGTTGCTGGTGGCTGGGCAACTGATCTGGATCATAGCCCAGGGTGCTCATTGCACTACTCAAAACACTAAGACCCAAACACTCAGTGGTTAGCCTGAAGCCCGTAGTGCGATCTCTTGCAATGAACTGTAGGGCCCTAATCCTACCTCCCTGGCTTGACACAGCCTGCATTTTCACCTGATGTAGTTGTCAGCTTTCCATTCCTATTAACCCAACAATTTCCTAGGTGATTTTTTCCTAAGAAATTTATTCTGTGTTTCCCAAAAGGCTTCATATACAATAAGGTTGGCATTACTGGTAAGCCTTTCCCATGAGCGACTGCAGACAGCAATAGAGATGCCAAAATCTACAGATCTTTGCACTGGAAGTTACACAGTTTTGTAGCGTATGCCCATACACAGGAGACACATATCGTATAGGTGTGCTGTCTGTATATAAAATTTACTGGCCTGTACCTATCCACTTCAGCTTCCTGATTTATGGGCTAGGTCAGTCAAGCTTCCAACCATGCAAGCTGCAGAACCAGCTACCTGCAGGCTGCCTAGGTCAGAGATTTTTTTGTAGAAAACAAGCAGAATCTCTCTTCCAAGAGTCTGCAGGAGGCCAGCACAGTACAAAAAACACTGCTGGAAGTGAAGAAACCTTGACTGAAGAAACTAAGAGAAGTGCTGATT